TGCCTTGAATGCAGCATTGTAACACACGCTACCGTACAAGACGGAACGTACAACGTAAATATAAAAACACACGAAAGTGCAGCAGGGGGGGGGGCCCTCTTATGCTGGGCCCGCGACATCTGCTGGAATCACGAAGGATTCAAGCCTCCTATTCAGGCTTCTTTTTAACGACCGCCGTCAGCCTTAGTCTCAACATGCCGGCCGCCTTGGAAAACTTAACTTTACAAAATAAAATAATCCTTATTGAACTTATAAATAAAATAGTCTTTGGTAGCTGACATCAATCTGAAACAGAACATATGATAATGCTATTGATGAGGAAACTTAGCCTAACGTTGAATGATTATAAATAATAGTGATTATTTCTCCATGGGAAGTAGACTCAGTTTATTGGATGGCCTTTTAAAGATTCCCTTGGCAGTTTTAATTGTCGCTGCTCGGACGACACCATCGTCTCCAGGGTGAACTTCCTGCACCCTACCAAGAGGCCAGCACAATGGTGGCACATTATCTTCTCGAATGAGTACCATGTCACCAGGAGCGATATTAATGTCTTTGGTGCTCCATTTTGTTCGTTGTTGCAACTGATTGAGATAATCCTTGGACCATCTCCTCCATAGATGCTGACGCATTTGCTCGACTCGTTGCCATCTGGAAAGCCTGTTTTCTTGAACCTCTATTAGTGCAGGTTCCGGTATCCCAGTAAGTATATCTCCAATGAGAAAATGCCCGGGAGATAGGTAAGACAGATCATTGAGATCGTTGGATAGCACAGTGATAGGACGGGAATTTAGTATAGCTTCAATTTGGATTGATAAGGTTTGCATTTCGTCAGTTATTAGCAGAGCTGTGCCGACAACCCGTTTAAAGTGAGTCTTGAACGATCGCACAGCAGCTTCCCAAATACCGCCAAAATTGGGAGCTCTCGGTGGTATAAAGTGCCATTGAATCCTTTGGCTAATTGAATCGTAAACTATTTTGTGCTTTTCCTTGGTGAACATGATGTAAAACTCCTTTAATTCTCGATCCGCGCCTACGAAGTTGGTGGCGTTATCGGAAAAAATGTGGGTTGGATTTCCTCTTCGTCCAATGAAACGTTTAAGAACATGTATGAAGCCTTCAGCTGACAAGTCAAAGGTTATCTCAATGTGAACTGCCTTGGTCACCAGGCATACGAAAATGGCGGCGTAAGATTTTATGGTTTTTACATTACGTCGCTTTGATTCACGAAGCTGAAATGGGCCGCAAAAGTCAATTCCTACGTTGGAGAATGCTCGCGACCTTTGAACTCTTTGCTTCGGTAGGTTGCCCATGATTGGTTGAACCGTCGATGGGGCTGTACGAAAGCATTTGATGCACCTTCTTATAATATGACGCACTGCATTTCTACCATTCAGTGGCCAAAAACCTTGACGCAAGGATGCCAAAGTTGTTTGCGATCCAGCGTGAAGTAACCTGGAATGTTCGTGCTGTATTAGCAGTCTTGTAAAGGAATGGTTAGAAGGTAATACCATTTGATGTCTTGCTGAATATGGTATATTAGCATGTTGAAGCCTACCACCAACTCGCAAAATTCCTTGTTCATCCAGAAAAGGACTGAGAGATGCAAGCTTACTATTTCTTGGTAGCTGTTGATGATTGCACAAGCATTTGAGCTCACTTAAAAATGCCGATGATTGAATCATTTTGACCAATGATTGTATAGCCATGTTGAGTTCCTCGCTTGATAGTCTTCCCTTGCGCTTGAGTTTGCTGAAGTGACAATTATTGATGAAACGTAAAATGTATCCATGAACTCGAACTAATTTGTTGAAGGTAGAATATTTGTCGAATAGCCATGGCGATTCCTGTTTGGTAATGGCAGCTGTTGTCGTTTTCCTCTGCTCTGGTACCTCTTGATCCAAAGGTAAATCCTTGATGTACCATTCAGTTGCATCTTGCGAGTGCCATGTTGGACCCTTCCACCATAAATCCGCTTTGAGTAACAATGCTGGCGACATGCCTCTCGAAACGATGTCCGCAGGATTGCGTGATGACTCCATATGGTACCAATCGTTTGGATCTGAAATGTCTTGAATTGCACTAACACGATTTGCAACGAAGGTGCTCCATCTCCTAGGAGAAGATTTTATCCATGAAAGTGCTATGGTAGAATCCGACCAGTGATATATTCGCGTGAACTTGACATTAATAGACTTTAGAATCTTGTGCACTAGCTGAGCTAATAGCAATGCAGCGCATAATTCCAAACGTGGTAAAGACAGATTTTTCAAAGGCGCTACCCTTGATTTTGCACATAATAAATTCGTTTCATAGCAATCTTCTGTTTTGCTCCGAATGTACACACAAGCTCCGTATGCCTTTTCGCTGGCATCTGAAAAGCCACATAATTCTATTGATTTTGGTGTTATTAGGAATGACTTCGTGGTATTTGAAGTTGTTTAAAACATGGAGCTCCGATTCATAACGTGACCATTGAGTTTGTATATCGCTGGGAACTGCTTCATCCCAATCAACCTTTAACTGCCACAATCGTTGCATAAAGATTTTTGCCGTAATTATGATCGGCCCCAAAATTCCCAAAGGATCGAAGATGTGAGCAATGGTGGAGAGTATGCTCCTCTTTGAAATCTTGAGTTGTTTAGTAGTGGTAATATTAAACTGAAACGTATCGCTCTGTGAGTTCCATTGCATACCAAGTGTGGGTACATTTACATCCTCGCTGATGTTCAAGATATGATTTGAAGACGATGCAGGTATGCCATTCAATATTGCTTGCTCATTTGATGCCCATTTGCGTAGAACAAAACCCGCTTTACTTAAGATTGTATTTACTTCATTTCGTATTGTAATGAGATCCTGAATTGAGTCGGCACCCGTTAAAAGGTCGTCGACGTAGAAATCGGATAGAATTCTTGCCGATCCCATTGGCATGTTGCTCTGCTCCAGCTTCGCAATCTCTTGTAAAGAGCGTACTGCAAGAAATGATGCCGATGCAGTGCCATATGTGACAGTAGTTAACTCAAAAACCCTCACTTCTTCTTCATCGCTGTTTCGCCATAAAATCCTTTGTAATGCCCATTGAGACTCATTGATCAAGACCTGTCGGTACATTTTGGCCACATCTCCAGTGAGGACGTACTGCCAAATACGAAACTTGAATAGAATGGAAATGAGATCTTGTTGCAGAGTTGGCCCTACCATCAGAATATCATTAAGTGACACTCCTGTGTCGGTCTTACAGGAAGCATCGAACACGACACGTATCTTTGTGGTGGAGCTAGTATCCTTGAAAACAGCATGATGCGGCATGTAATAAGCTGGAAACGTTCCTTGAGTTTCTAGAGTGACAGGATGCATGTGCTGGAGCTCTAGATATTCTTGCATAAACTGTGCGTATTCCCTTTTCATTTCTGGATGGCGATTCAATTTACGCTCCATTGAATAAAATCGTTTCAGCGCTATGTCGTAGGAAGATCCTAGTGTCTGCAACTTGTCCCTTTTGATTGGCAATTGTACCACGAATCTGCCTTGTTCCGTTCGGCGATGAGTTTCGTTGAAGTGTTCTTCACATTCTCGCTCTTCGGCTGTAAGCACCGGTTTGGTCAAAACTTGTTCCATTTGCCAGAACCTTTCAACAGCTTGCTCTAGACTAGTATGATTCACTGAAAGGTTACATTGTGTCGTTCCTTGTGTTGCAACATTACTTGGACATTTACCGCCTATTATCCATCCGAACAACGTTTTTTGAAGCAAAGGATGCTCTGAGGACTCCTTGATTTGTCCCATGCAAAGAATGCTCCAAAACATCTCAGCACCTAGCAATACATCCACATCCATAGATCGGTAAAATTCCGGATCGGCCAAAGGTAAGTTTTGCGGAATCTTGAATCTGTGCTTGTCCATTGTGATGTTGGGCAAACGTTCTGTGATTTGTTTCACCACTAGGCAATTCGTGATGATCTTGTATGCGTAGTGTCTCGAACTTATTTGCACTTGAATCATTTTTTGAATTTTACTGCATGCTTGATTGACTCCGACGATTGAAATATCAATTGATTTTGTCGTAAGGCCTAGATGTCGTACTAAATCCTCTGTTATAAAATTAGACTGAGACCCTGAGTCTAGGAGTGCGCGACATGTTTGCTTTCTTCCTTGACAATCCTGCACATTTACTAATGCCGTTGATAAAAAAACTTGTGATGACAAATTCGACATTGTAGTA